CCTTTTCCACCACATTACTATCTCATCAGCCAATGGACAGTACAACCAAATATGAATCATATTTTCCCATCCCCAATTGCATCTCAGGCATTGGGTGGGGACATCCATTCCTCTCGTGGAGAGCCACATTGAAGTGGCCGTGACCAAAAGGGACTGAAGCCACATAATACTAGCATGCTTCTGAACGGGGCCTTTAGCGTGACCAGAAAGCCCGAAGGCCTTGAGCCGTTACTCCTGTCAATTGAAGATCACTAGCTCTTTTCAGGGCTAATGATTCAACCGATTTTTTTCTGCCCTTTAGCTGCTTTTGAATTCCGATCTTTGGTTTGTATTGGACTAATGGCACAAAAGAGGTGTCGCTCATCCAACCATGCAGCAAAGGCTCCACCCTGAACTGTACTGCATCCCCCAGCAAAGTAGCGGTCGTCTTCCCAGGTTTCGGCTCCTGCACCCATACTCTCACCTCTTCTAAAGCAGCTGTACTCGAGACTCGATGATCTTCCAACTCCAGTTTCAGTTTCATATTACCTGAGACCACGGTCACCTGTGACAGGGACCAGACCTGTACTCTCATCCCTGACACCAGGTCTGGGCCCAAGACTCGCAAAAAGCGAGTGGGGTGATCTTCAGCCCGGAGCCATGCTCCCGCCGCCTGTTCTGCCCCTGGCAAAAGAAGGCGAATCCATGAGTCCGGAATGGCTGTAATAAGTTATGCTCTATGAGTAGCCACTCTATGGAGCCTTGGAAGCTTCTGACGCAGCTGCGGGAGGTCCAGAAAGTTGCCTTCCTCCGCTCCCCAAATATCTCTAACCTGTACCACCCCTTTCTTCACCCAAGATTTGCCGAAGCTACCTGGTATATCTGCTGCAGGAAAGGGAAAATCGTCCACTTGAAGAATATAGTTATTTTCGAACAGCAACTGATTCAAAACTTCTTGCTTGGTGGTGGGAGGGTCGCATTTAGTGGGCCTTATTAAACTCCAAGCACCCAGGATACTTCTCCATAACTTCGACTTGGGTCTGCGGCTGGCAAAGGAAGGTAGCATCAAACAAATCCAAACTTTCAAATGGTCCTGAAGCTCCCATTCCGTTCCCATTATATATTCTGCAAGAGTCATCCAAGTTTTGCGTGTTGTGTCCATCATTGCTTGTACAGGCCACTTAGCCAACAACGCTGCATTCTGCTGGGCTGGGTCCAGAATGCCCAGGCCTCCTTCCTTCCTGGGTGCTGCTATGACATCCTAAGCCACCTTGGACAGGAACCCTTGTTTTGTCGTAGCTTCAGGCTTCCACAAGTACCTTGCAGCCGCCCTTTTAATCTTTCTATATGCCCCATCCCCCAATCTGTGAATGCTCAATGGAAACCACAGCAGGGAACATGCCGCAGAAGAAAGTATCACAGCCCTACCCACAAGGGAGAGACCCGTGCGCCTTTCCCAGCTTGCAATGCGGGCAATCACTTTATCTGCCAATATGTTATCCTGTAAAATAGAACAATCAGAAAGCGACACTTGGATGCCCAAAAAACGATCGGATGAGTTTGCAGGCACCCTCCGTAGACCCCAATCCACACACAACTCATGAGGGGGAGGTAAAAGGTAAAGTGACTTATCCCAATTAATTGAGGCTTCAGACAGACTACAATATTCCTCTAATACTATACGTAATTCACTCATACTCTCTTGTGAATTTTTACAGGCCATCGTTAAGTCGTCCGCTATGGCCCCTCCCTTCCATTGGAGGGCGGGGTAAAGGGATAGCCCCACTATTCGTTGATTATGCCTGATATTAGTCAATAAAAAATCCAGCTGCAGGACAAAAATAAGGGGGGCCAACGGGCAACCCTGTCTGAGGGAACGTGTAAGATGAAATTCCTCTGAATGCTTCCCATTGACAAGTACAGTTGTTGTTGCCCTAGCGTACATTGCCTTGACCCAGAGACGGAATTGGGACCCTAGCCCCAAGGTCAGGAGGGAGGTGTTAACAAAGGCCCACCCTACCTTATCGTACGCCTTTTCCATGTCTAACATGAGAACAACGACGCCCCTTTTCTCCTGACTGATCACTGCCAAGGCCTGGACAGCAGCCAAGATATTGTTGAAAATGGTCCGCCCTTTAATGAAAGCACCTTGTTCACCACCCACCAAGGTGGGGAGAACTGTGGCCAATCTCAGTGCTAGGACTTTGGCCAAAAGCTTATAAGAAACATTTAAAAGGGAAATCGGCCGCCAATTCCGAATTTCTCTTTTTTCCCCTTTCTTATACATAAGTGAGATCATCCCCTTAACTAGGCCTCGAGGAAGGGAGCCCGAAGAACGAACTTCATTAAATAGTTCACAGAAGAAGTGTCCAAAAGTCTCTCAGGCTGAAAGGAAAAATTTTATGGGAAGCCCATCCGGGCCCGGGCACTTGCCTCGTGCCATCTGCTTTGCTGCATAGTGAACCTCCTCCACTGAGATTTCTTTGTCCAAGTCCATACATGTCTGGGGAGAGATTTTTGCAACATTGCAGTCCCAAAAGGAATGGTATTCAGCCAGGTTCGTGTCAAAGCTATCATATGGGCACCTTGTAGTTACTATGTCTCTAAAATAGGACATCGCATATGAGCAACATGTCTCCGTATCAGTGGCCAGGGGTGCGTTAATTGCAAATGGATGAGTCAATTCTCTAATGGCAGGTTTGACTTTTCTCAGGATCAATTTTCGAAAAGTGTCTTTCGACATTTTATCATAGCCCAAAATACCTTTAATCCTTAACCATTCCTGCCTTTCCGCCTAATTTCGGATTTCCAGTTCCTCTTGTTCCACTATGGCCTTAGCTCTCTTCTTATACCAGTAATATTCAAGGAACGGGTCCGAACCATTCTACGCATCCGCTTGTTCAATGACCTTGGCCAACTGTGTTTCCTTCCACTTTCTGCTTGCCACTTTCATCCGGGAAAACTCTACCATAGCGGTCTGCAGAATACCAATGCTGGTATCTACCCAATCCTCGTAGCTTTGAAATAAGTCTCGTGCCCGGTCCCAGTCTTCCATCTGTACCTTGACCCATTGGGGTATTCCCGGATCCTTAAATACATTTGTATTTAGCCTAAAAGGGGGGCGATGCCGTTCTACTATCTCTGCAGAAATCACATCTATGCCCACTGGGCAGTGATCTGAGAGATAATAGGAAAAGACATCAGCCCATACAGTCCTTTCCCAGGGAGAACCTCTAGCTAGTATATAATCCAAACGTCGTCTGGGCTGGGCTGTTTTTGTGGAGGGGCGTGGACCTCTCCAGGTAAATCCATTTGCCTCAGGGTGCAGAGTTCTATACACATCTACGAAACCGTGAGCCTTGATAAAAGAGTTCAAAAGGAGTGCGTCCCTTCGAATCCGTGTTGTAGCTGGAGAATCCAAGCCTGGGTTCAGTATGCTGTTCCAATCCCCCATTAACACCAGATTATCTGTATCTGGGATAACTTTAGGCAGGTCAGCAAAAAATTCTATTCTTTTAGAGTAATCGACTGGTGCATACACTGACATCACAGACCAGTCTTCCTCAACTACAGCCAACTTCATCCAGGCCCAGCGACCTTCGGGGTCCGCACATGAATCAATAACTTCCACTTCTAACTTTTTATCAATGAGAATAGCTACTCCCCCCTTCGAGCCCTCCGCTGGAGCCCAAAGTTGGGGGCCCGGCCACCATCTCTGGATTTCTGTCATTTTCTCGGGACCAATTTTGGTCTCTTGCAAACATGCAATGTGTACCTGGTTATCATAAAGCCATGTCGACAGTCTGTCACGCTTAAATGTTTCATTTTGGTCTCCTAGACCCCGTATGCTCCAGCTCACCAGGCGCAGCCTATTGGGAAGGGTCATTCTTAGGGCCTGTTCCGCTAGGAGATTGGATGCGGTGGTCAGCGTTGTCGTGAGCCGTACCATAGGTCTGGCCCAACGTGACGCATTCGCCAATCGAGTAGTTCAAGCTTTTCCCTGCCCTTCTTTTAAGCAGAGTTTCGGCGAAAGTGTCAGAAAAAATTATCTGTCGACTGTCCGCTTCCTCAAGCCAGTCTGCTACCACTTTGGCTAAGAGCCCCAAAGGCAGTTTAATACTCGTCAAAGTGGAGGATTGGGAAGAGGCCAGATATGCAAGTTCAATCCAATGAATTTTAAGCTCATCCCATTTTGCCTTATTATCAGTTATATGAACCAAATCCAAAAAGGCAAAAAGGAGACGTACCTTCCCTCCTTCCTGTGTATCTGCTAAATATCTGGCCATCTTAGGCTCAAGGAGGATTCCTACCTCTCCCAGGTTCTGCAAAATCTGTATTTTGACCAAATTGCAGACCATCACCGGGGATGGGGAACTTCTCAACAGGATTGAAGGAAGGGATAACACCTCGTCCTTACCTTTGATAGTAAACATTCTAGAGATCTGGCCATCGTGAGAGCATATTAGTGGAATCAGATAATCTGTCACTTGGCCATTGAATGTCTCCTTTCTTTTCAACGTTTTCATTGGAGCAGCCAGAGAGAGGGAGCGCCGAGCTGTTTTGGTCACTTCAGCTCTAGCTCTTTTTAAGGGCGAGCTCTTGGCTACCTCATCAGCCGGACCCGAAATATCATCTTCTCGCAATCCTGCCTGGAATTTCAGACCCTCGATCCGGGGCCTTTTGGACGAGGAGAGAGAAAGCAGGTGCCGTGAATCTCGACCCTCTTTCAAATCAGAGCCCGTGGGAAAAAGGGTCGGCTGAGTAAAGGGGTTTACCACCGAGGTCTCAAGTACTCCTTGTGGGGATCCCTTTTCCCCAAACTGGTCCTCGGACTTTTTAGGCTGGGGCTCAGAGGGAGAGTAAACTTCAGATGCAGACCCATTTGAGTCTACTGAATCCTCCCCTGAATCTGATGTCGACTCCCCTTCCAACGACGGGAGCGACACCCTTTTCCCATTCTCCGCCGCAAGGTTGACTAACCTGCTCTACTGTGATTAACAGGCTCCTCGTCTTCCGAGACCCCAATATTAAAGCATTCATTAGTGTAAATAGAGCAGTTTTTCAGGTTTTCGATAGACAGGTGTGTCAACGTAGTAGCCGCTCGATCAGTTGTGTCTGAAACCTGCGGCGCAGGGGTACGAAGTTTATCCGGTGTTCCTTGGGTTCCGTTCCCTGCTGGCACCCCTGGTAGTTGATCAACTTTGGGCGAAGGCGACGGGGAGGAACAAAGCATAAGGGCAACGGGGGGGGAGAGAGGAGGGTCATTCGAAGTAGGAGGGAGGGGGGACGAGGGGAGGGGGACTGTTGCCCCATGGCCGAGAGCCATGAGGTCTCCCGATGCTACAGCTTGACCCGAAACTTCATCCCTTTGCTTCAATCCCTATTCTTCTGAGACTGACCTCTCATCTCCCTTCTTTCTAGGAGTATTTTCAACCTTCTCTATTATCATCACCTTCTCTTCCTCCTCCACTGAGCCCTGTTTCTGTGAAGGTTTTTCTTCCTCTACAATGCCCTGTTCCTCTGAAGTTTTCTGTAATGTATTCGGTCTCCACTCTTTTCGAACTCTTGGTTCCTTGGTTCTTTTACTGGCGATCTTCTTCTTTTTCTTAGGAACCTTCCTTTTCTTGACTTCCTTACCTTGCTTACCCTTACTCTGGGTCCCTTCTTTCTCCTCATCTCGATTTCCCCCCAACGAGCCCTTATCCTCCTCATCCATGTCCACATCCTTTGGCTGATTTTCCAGGTCTCCCTGGGTAGCAGCCTGCCCATCTTCTCCCTTTCGCTTATCCTTCCTTCTTCCCTTGTTCCCTCCTTTCGAGATGCTCTCCTTCTGTGTTTCCCAATCATCCTGTACCCGATCTGACTTCTCCTCTTCAGTCAGGGACCCATCACCCACCTTTTTCCCTTTTTCCTGCAGATTCCCTTGTTGACGTGCAGGACAGCAATCGTCATCTTCATGATGGAAGTTTTGACGACAGACTTTACACCACGGAGTCTGCGCATGGACCACCTCTATTTCCACGAAGCCGCCTTTCTTCATATCTATTATTAGATATGGTCTATAGCGCACACGGGCGGCAGGCTCCAGATCAAAACGAACATTCACTAATTCCGGGGCTATTGGGTCAGCATATGTCTCAAATTTTTTGAGAATTTTCCCGAAGGCACTTTGAACTGCCGTGGCAAGGTAAGGAAGGGCCGCCACCGGGACATACTTACATCGAACCCAAAAGAATTTATACCTCATGGCCTCCCGCCATTCAAAAAGCTCATCTTCTGACATCCAGGGTCTGAAAGTCATGGTGTAAGTTTTCCCATCCAGCACGATTTTATCTTCTTTTTTCCTTAGCAGCCACATCGCAATTTCTTTTGCCGATGCCACATATGTGACCAGGTTAAAGCCCTCGTTATGAAAAACCCCTCTCTTAGGTGCGGCACTAATCGACCCACCCTTGGCCCAGCCATCTTCATGCATACGGATCAAACGAATTTTGACAGACACCGGAATTGACTTCGCGTCGTGTCCAAAAGCCACAGTCAGAGCATTCTCTTTGAGCCATTCCTCCTGAACTGCGTAGTGGTTGGGATTTACCATCACCCTCACAAAATCATCCCCCACTTCTACTCGTTCCGGGAGGAGGTCCTCAGGGAGTAACCCTTCATTGTAGCAGTCTGCCAGAATTCCTTTGATTCTGTTTTTTTCCTCAGATCCTAGAGACATGTTCTTCTGAACGGTTGAAGTCTCTCCCATTTTGCCTGGGTCCTGGGCCAGAATGACACAAAGTATTTCCCAAAATCCGAGTAAAACAGGGGGATTAACGAAAAGATAAAACACAGTTACCAACAGCAAGCCCTACCCTACCAAATACTACCAATACGTAAATAGTCACAGCCTCAATAATTAAGGATAAGTCAAACACCCAATCACCTCCCTCACAACATGGGATGTGCTTACCAACCGAGGGAAGTCACGACTTAGGCCTTGACGTGATGCTTGTCTTGTTACAAATGAGGTCGCCAACTCTTTCGTAGCCTTCACATTGGCGTGTCCTGGGACGAAACATATTCCCCAATCTTCTCTTCTTCTCCAAACCCATAGTAGGTCGACGGGGAGGGAGGCCCTCCTTCCAGTACACCTCCTCTGCCTACTTCCCCTTTTCTCCTTATTAACTGGCCTTCATCCCTTCTTCCCGTCTCGTCCCGTTCTACTACCACCCTCCGACATGATCTGAACAGCAGAATACCAGCGATGGAGGGTCGGGTGTTGACGGCGCCACGTTCTACCCTAATCGCGATTAAGCGGCAAGTGTCGCCGAAGCGGCGCTTTGCGCCCACGATTCTTTCTGGCCGCCGGTTTAGCTTCTGAAACCCACATTCAACCAAACTCAATTATCCGCTGCTACTTCTTCAGTATGATCCAATTTAGTTTCTTGGATACAGGCAATTTGCACGTTCTGTTGGTGAAGCCAACCCTTAAATCTCGCCTTTTTGTATTTTTTTGCAGTATCCCCAAAGCCTCAGAAATTCCAGGTCAGTAGTGCAACTAGGCCCTATATGGCCTCCTGCGAAGATCGGCGGCATCCTCACTTTCTGCACGATTTTTACATTTACAATGATGGGACCACGTGACACATGGCGCGGCGCCATGGCACAGACAATATTGCAGACGGATGTACATTTCCCCCCTCTCCGCTGTCACACCGTGTAGTTTTCAGGCACTACACGGTGCATGTGCATGTGGGCCGAGGCCCCTCTCCGGCGGAGCTGTTCCCGCTCTTGTTCCCGCACATTTCAAGGGCGGACTCGAGGGTGGAGTGGAACGGTTCGCACTTGTGCTTCAAGTCTTTTCTAATGACATTGCGTCTCGCTGCACTACTCTTGACATGCGCAAAAGACAAAAATCATGGCCGTGTATCTTTCCATATTCTAGCCGAAGATTCACTCTCGTTTTGCACATTTCCAGAGTAGTGCAGGGAGGACCATTTACGTGTGAACTGCGGCTCAAGTGCACACGCGCGTTTCGAGTGAAGTGCAGTGTTTTTTTGGAACGAGGCCCGAACTCGAATCGATTGGCCAATTTCAACGTGCTGATTTTGGCGCTCGTGAGGCGTTACCCGTCCTACGCAATGTGCTAGAGCCAGGCTAGGTCCCACTTGCACTAATTAAGAGAGACTGACCGTAGATAGCAAAGATCAACGGCCGAAATCTCCTAATTTGCGCAAGTGGAACCTTGCCCCAGTACAGAGCCCGTGATTACTACGTTACCCGATGACCTCGACGTCCCCTCCGTTTGCTTGCTGCTCGCGGCCGGGGAACACGGGTCTGGTATCCCGGGGCTAGGTCCCACTTGCACGAATTAAGAGATATACTGACCGTAGATAGCAAAGATCAACGGCCGAAATCTCCTAATTTGCGCAAGTGGGATCTTGCCGCCGGTTACTACCTATGTGCTCGAAGAGCTGTCTGGACTGATGACGGCCTTGCTACACTACTCACCAGGGGCCTCGCTGCACTACTCTCGAAATGTGCAAAACGAGAGTGAATCTTCCGCTAAAATATGGAAAGATACACCGCCATGATTTTTGTCTTTTGTGCATTTCAAGAGTAGTGCAGCGACGCCCCAGATGTGCAAAATGCGAATGACTCTTGTCAGAGATTGCTTCTCGACGACACCTTCCAAATGGCCAGCCTGCTACTCCGATGTTTTCAACAGTCCTCGGCTGCGCTATCGGCTTCTCCTCGAAATTCGGTGAGTGGGCGTGAGGTCGGGATGGACTAATGGTTGTAGTAGTACCCTCAGGTCCGTTCGTCTTTAAAAAAAATTGTACGTTGTCTCTCTCTATCTCTGACGAAACTCAGGTACGTTCTCTCTCTCTCTGTGTGTGACAAATCTCATGTACGTTGTCTCTCTCTCTGTGTGACAAATCTCATGTACGTTGTCTCTCTCTCTCTGTGGTCCTTGCGTGTGCGGGGCCTTGCACTTGCTGAACTTTTTGCACTTGCGTGTGCGGGTCCTTGCTGAACTTTTTGCACTCGCTATGGGCCATCATGCCTGCGATCAGAAGTGCGCAACCCCCGTCTCCCCTCGCGCCTCCCCCTCCCAACTCGGCCCTGTTTCCCAAAAACGGCTAAGAAACTCTTTTTTTTGGGGGGGAGAGAGAGAGAGAGAGAGAGAGAGAGAGAGAGAGAGAGAGAGAGAGAGAGAGAGAGAGAGAGAGAGAG